TTAATTCTGATAGTAAGTGGAGTTAGCACAGACCCCATAGGTTAGGAACTTCAGTCCCACAAGACTGCCCTCATTTCCAAGTTAGCCACAACTTTTGCTCCCATGACTCTCCTCCTCCCTTTCTTAGGTTCTGTAAATTGCCAGAGCAGCTCCCAGAACTCATGGAAATAGTTTACTCACTGTTGTTGATTTATTTTAAATGATATTCTTAAGAATGTAAATGAACAGCAAAATAAAAGAAACACTGGGTGAGATCTGGGAGGGTCTCCAGCATGTGAGCTTCTGTGCCCATGCAGTTGGAGTGCACCGTTCTTCAGGCACATGGATTTGTCTACCAGCTGAAGCTGTCCAAAATCTGGACTTTGGGAATTTTTAATGGAACTTCCTTAATCACATGGGCACAATCGATTATTAACTACATTTCCAGTAGAAGGAATGGCACCAAAATTTCCAAGCTTAGTGGCTTGGTGCTTCTGGTGATCAGATCCATTTAGAAGCCCACCAAAAGAAGTCTCATTAAAACAGGAGACATTCTTGTCATGAAAAAAATTCCAAAGGAATTAGCAACTCTGTGTCAGATGATACCATCACTCAGGAATTTATAAATTGTTAGGAGCTCTCTGTCAGGAACCAAGGTCAAAGACCAAATACTAAAACAAAAGATTCTTCTAGCACCACCGTCTAATTGTAGGAGCTCCATGTCAGGAATCAAGGACAGCGATATATATTTATTTCTTATTATTTCACATTTAATATGAGATATTTAAAAATGTCACCAATTAGTGCATGCATGCATGCTTTAAGATGCTCAAAACTAGCAAGTATTCTCTTCCTTAGCTTTCTGTAACCTGATTATATTTATTCCTTCTGAGATTTTTCAGATTACAAAGTTCCGCAGAGCAATCAGACAATAAGTTTCTGTGAATTGGGTTGGTACTAAGTGGTAGGAACTGGAGAGTTTACCAATCTGGAAATAGCACAGATTTTGCCAAAAGGGACTCAAATTCAAAGTATTTTCACTAGGATTGTGACAAGATCAGGACTGTGATGTTGTCTGTGGCTAGAAGGACCTGAAGGCTACCATTTTACAAGTCTTCCTTTTTATAACCCTCCCTCCTTGAACATAGTTTCCAGGTCCCTCATCTCTTTCCCCCCAGAATATTCCAGTTTGTCAGTATCTTTCTTAAAGTTTTCTTAATTGGGCAGTATTCACAGTACATGAGGCCCAGCATACAAGGGACTGTTACCTTCTGGGGCCTGGATATTAAATGTCTCTCCAGGGATCCCAGAAGGCCTGAGGTCTCTCAGCAGATGTCTGGAATTGTTGTTGGCTCCAATTGAGTTTGCAGTCAATACGTCTTTTTTCCCTATGAGCTGCTGACAAGCCACTTAATGATAATAATATTTGAAAAACAGCCTAAACAAAGATCTCTGGCCTTGGAAGAATCCAGACCATACATTTCTTGACGATGTTTTCCTTCAGCACAGATCTTGACAATAAGAACAGGATTCCCCAGTTGCCCTAGACTTTCACAGACATAAGGCCTGAGTAGTTAATCTAATCCCAAAGAATAATCTAGTCAACTTTGAACTGTCTGTCTAAAATGATTAATCTAGCCTGGCATAGTTCTTGCACCTAGATAGTCAGAAGTTCTTAGTTAGAATGGATATTAGATTTCACTGATCACAATACTTTAAATTTTCAGTGGAGGCAGGTAAAAGCCACTGAGTTTCAGGGACTGCCCAATATAACACTATGGGAAAACCAGGGACTATGGTCTGACTGTGTCCCCAAAATTCTTGTACTGGAAACTGAGTCCCCAGTGCAGTGATGTTGAGAAGTAAAACCTTTAAGACATGATTAGGTGATGAGGGCTCTTTCTTCATAAATGAATTAATGTTATTGTGGAATTGGGCTCATTCTCATGACAGTGGATTTCTAGTAAAAAGGAGTTTGGGCTGGGGATATACCTCAGTAGCATTAGTGCCTGCCTGGCACAAGTGCAAGGTCCTGAGTTCGACCCCCCACCCCATACAAATAAATAAATAAACAAAAATAAAAAGGAGTTTGGTTTTCTCTGGCACTCTTGTACTCTCTTGCTGACATGGGTTCATGAACAATATAGGAATCCAAGTAGTCTAATTAATAAATTTGGAATTTTATTAGCTGAGCTCAGTGACCACTCACATATAGACCCCTGTTTCAGAGTCCCACCAAGTGGCCCTGAATTTGAAAGTTACAAAGCTTTTAAAACAGAAAACCAGAAAAAAGACATCCTGTTGGAAACAATTTAGCTAGAATCTTACATTAATTTTTGGTTGACATCTGTATCCTGCTTCTTTGTTGAGTAGGTTAATTTTTTTCTTGTGGGTACAGCTGATTTTGCTTTTCTCATGGGATTGTACTCTAAGTAATTTTTCACTCTTCTGGGTCAAATACAGGACACTAGTCAAATACAGGGCTAAAAATGGCATCAGTTATACCAAGCTACAACATTGCCTGTCCATTTTCTGTCATGATATGATCAAGTACAAAAGCCCTCATCAGATGCCAGCACCTTGACATTAAGTTTCCTAGCTTCCAAAAGTATAAGACATAAATCCACATATCCAAGATCCCAAAGTTATAGTCTTTTCATTATGCCCCTCTATCTCATAAAAATACCTAAGCCTATTCTGCAACATTGGCACTTAAGACACAGCACACAGTTGGCCACAGTGGCAAGGGCCTGTCAGTCCAGCTATTTAGAAGGCTGAATTAGGAAGATTGCAAAAGCCATTTCAAATTTATCCTGGAAAACATATTGGGATCCACTGTCAAAAAAATAAAATAGGTATAGCACATTATTTGTATTTTTTACATGAGGAGATCTTCAAATAAGAAGAAATATGCTAGAGACTTAGATATAGTAGGCACCTTGCTAAGAAATAGCCACAAGCGAGTGTGAGCAGGAGATACAGCAGAACTACTTACTGAGGAGAATTTTACAATAGACATTGATCAGAGCAGTGTAGCACTCAGCCCTTTTAAAAAATCATACCCCACATTAATTTCAGGAAACTAGCCTTCTTGGATGGCACACGGCCAGGGTAGGAGGTAATTCATGGAGCCTTGTTTCCCACTACAAAAGAAGAGAAAGGTAAATCCCACAATAACTTCCCCTGGATCAATCCAGGACCTGTAGGTGGCCTAAATTCACTCACTGGAACACTGTCCCAGACCTAGGACCTCCCACATTACACAGAACACAGAGTATTAGTTACCTGTCCTTGCATTAAAAATTACCCCACACTTAGCATCTTGAGACAATGAACATTTGCTCATAGTTGTGTCAGTCAGAATTTTGGAATATCGCAGCTCAGAATCTTATCAGATATTGGCTGTCTGCCTTCCTGTTTGAGGCTCAGGCCTGTATTCTAAGCTCATTCTTGTTGTATGCAGAATTCGATTTCTTATAGGGGGCCCATGTTCTTGTTCCTGGTCAGCTGTTGAATGGAATCACTCTTAGTGCCTCACGACCATTTTTTGGTCCTTGCACATGGCCTCTCCCTCGTCAAATCTGGCAAGTGCTTGCAGCAGCCTCCTGAGACTTCACCTCTCTCTAACTTTCCCTTCTTTTTTCCCCTTCTGCTGTTAAAGGACTCAGGTGATTAGATCAAGCCCATCCAGATAGTCTCCATATCTTAAGGTCCACTAACTTCAGATTTTACACATTCAGAACCCTGTCGTTTCAATACCTAGACTAGTGACTGACTCTATCCCAGGAGATGGGAGTCTCAGGACCTCTCAGCAACCTCCTGGAGGTCATTTTTCTTTCAGATGCAGCAGTGGTGGTGGAACACTGGCCATTCCCTTCTCATGAGGAGACAGAGACAGCTCCATGCTTCCCACTTCCTCTTTCTGGAGCCAATGACATTTCCTCAGTCCTATGGTTTCTCAAGTTGGGTCTCCCAGCCTCTCATCAAAAACTCCTTGTAAAATAAATAAATCTCTGGTTACCTATTGTTAGCCGGCATGAGCCTCTGTTGATTACAATCAAGAAATCTGATTGTCTTCATCTCCAGTAAAATGTAAAGCCCTAATCCATCAAGTCATTACAGTACAGTGATTCTTATGGAAGAGGGGGCAGGGTAGGAAGGCTCAGAGGTTCTGAGGAAGTTTGGTCAAACCACATACCCACCCTCAAAACTGACACCTGGGCCTGAAAAGATTAAGTTCTATTATAAATGCTATAGTAAAACAGATAACCAGTGCTTTATACGATCGAAATTAATTAACTGGTTAATCTAAAATAAGGCCATAAAATAAAATCTATTCTATTTCCTATTTGAAATGAATGGTAGACGTTAGTGTTATGCTGATACAAGTGAAAAGTAAGTCAACAAAATCTCTTGATCTTATATAGTTTGTTATATTGTATTTAAATTCATGTTTTTCTAAACCAAACAAATTCTTTGTACAGTCTCGCTCAGACTACACAGACCACAAGTTTTGGATTTTGTGCCTGAGTTTGCATTCGAGGTCACCATCACCAGTTGATACAAAAGCTGGTATGTGCAGAAATCTCTGCTTTGACAGAAGAATACAGGAATCAACGTATCCCTTTCCATTCCAAATTTCCACCCCAAAATTTTTTGTTCTGTTAAGTAAAAAGACTCGCTTATAAGGGCTCAATTTGTTCTCTCCATTTAGACTTTTCTGAACCTAGACAAATCCCAGGAGGGCAGAGTGGGTAGGTAACCAGTCCAAAACTCACAGAAAAAGAAAAACAAAGCACCCCTCTTCCCGGAGCCCTCACGGTGACTTTTCTGTGGAAAACTGTGCTTGTGCCAGTCTCTGAGAGCAAAGCCGCAGCTACTGTTCCCTCCCTTGCTGCACTTAGCTGGGAACATCTCGACTGCATGAGCCACAGCCTGGCCCAGACAGATGCGCGATGCATCTCCACAGTCCTCCAGCATAAACAACACACACTGCTAATTAGTGAGGGCCCAGGACTCACCCCTCTGGGGACCACAAAGGCCATGTCCAGAGAAATGCGCCAACAGATCCAGCACACGAGGTATCCCAGGTTTTTGAGGGCAGGTAGATAGAAGTGAAGGAGACATTTCCTAGTATAGCACTTGATTAGTGAACGCAAAATACATTTGAGCAGTATTGAGGAGCATTCTGACCTTGGAGCCAGACAGCCTGGACTTATATCCAGCTCTGCCAATATTTGTCAGGAAAAATGGTGTAATAAGAAACACAAACCCCTAAGTCTTAACACTAAACATGTCACAGGTTTCCTGTTCACTCAGGTCATTGTACAATCTGCTTGAAACAGACACTGTATTCCACACAGTCATTCAGGAACTTGGCCTGCCCTATCTTGTGTTCCTGTCAACCCCCAGTGTCTTGGAGTCAGCAGGGTAGAAGGCGGTAATTATGCTCTGGGGTGGTATAGCTCACTCTCACCCTCTACCTCAGGAATCCACACTCAACTGAGTCTCATCTGCCTGCAAGAGAGACTGGGAAATAAAGTCTCTTCCTTTAACTAGGAGGAAAGAAAAGGGGCCCAGTGAACAACTAATTCTCTAGACAAATAGAGTCAAAGTCTGTGTGTGTGTGTGTGTGTGTGTGTGTGTGTGTGTGTGTGTGTGTTGTGGGGTTGGATATGTCTCACCAATAGGTCCAATAAAGATCTGTGTGTAATGTTGAGGAGGGGTATTCTAACCAGTTGGTCCAAAGTCTGCAGAGCAGACTAGCAAGCTAAAGACACAAGGAAGAGTCATGTTGGAGATCAAGTCTGAGGCTACCTAGAAGCAGAATTCCATTTTTCCGTGGAGATTGCCATCTTTGTTCTTGAGGACTTCCACTGACTAGGTGAGGCCCACCCACATTCTAGAGGGTAATCTGCTTTACTGTCTACTGGTATACACGTTAACCTTATTTTTAAAATAGCCTCACATTGATATTTGTACTAGTAGTTTACTAAATGTTTACAGCCTACACAAGTTGAGACATAAAATTAACATTTGCAATGGGTGTGAGAAATTGGGGCCACAGAACACCAAAGACTAGAAAGACTCAGAAAGTTCTTTGTAAGGAGTAGTTTTATTGTGACTACTATTGTCACCATCACTACTAATAATAATAATTGAAGCCTGAATCTAACAATGTGACACCATCCCAGCACCTTTCCTCAGTCACTGCACCAAAACACCTAGGGAACAACTGACCCAGAAAGACTTCTCATACTTAGACACATTTTCTTCCAATGTTAGTACAGATCAAAAATGTCCTGCCAAAAGTCTCATGTGTTCACAGGTAGAGCCTTAGAAAGAGGACTGCATCGTTGGGACATTATCCTCATCAGAAGAACTAATTCATTGATGGGTTCACAGTTCAGCAGGTGGATCTGTGGAGAGAGGTACAGGTGACTGAGGGTGTGGCCTAGAAGGATGTGTGTGTTCTCATCTACAGGTCCTCTCCCTCTCCCTCTTTCTCTCCCTCCCCCTCGTCCCCCTCTTCCTGTTTTCTGGTTTCTAGGGGGCTGAGTAGCTTTCCTTCTGACTTTTAGGCCTTGGATCCAGCTAACCATGGGATGAACCTTCTGAAACTGTGAGCCACAGTAAATCTCTTTTCCTTTAACTTGTATGTGTCAGGCATTTTGTTCCAGCAATGAGAAAGCTGACTAATACACTTTCCTACCTAGTGTCTTCCTCTACCCTCACATCCCTAGGAAGTAGGCAAGACAAAATTATTCTATTGTTCTGATTTCAGAGGTAAGGATCAGAGAAGGCACCTGCCCTCCCACCTGACCCTCCTAATTGCCACCCTGTCTCAGTGGATAGTTTTGTTTCAAGTTGATTGAAAACTCGTACATTATACTCCCAGCAAAATAATAATATATGAAGCATTTGATAAGATTAATTAAAACATTCCTATGAATACTACCTCTGGGCATTCTATCATTTATGTAATGATACGTACATAATGAATGGATCTTGATGAATTTAATTCACCACTTAAAAGATTATTTCCATGGACAAACAAACTCTATGATTCAAGAAATAAACATGTAAATGAACTTTTGGAATGTGACTCTGTTTATAAAAGAGGATTTCCTGTAAGAGGGACCAGCCTCAGGCACAGCTGTGAGGCAGTTAGAATTTGTATTCATTCTTCCTATCCTCTGAGTTCTGGGGTTCACCCCTTGCTGGTTTTTTTTCATTGTTGCTTATACTAAATAAATAGGACAGATAGAAACCAAAAGTTGAGACCCAACTTGGTCCTGCTAAAAGTAGATGTGTGACCCACAACAATCTTACTCCTTTGGTTTCTTGATTTTAAATCAAGGGATTAGATGAAGTCATAATACATTGCCTTTCTGCCATACCTTTTATCAGTTCTGTTATGTGTCTCCTTGGCTGGATCTCCTTATCAGTGCCTAAAAGCCAAGACTTATAAAGAGTCTTCCTCTGATCCAAGTATCAGCTCTGAGGTCATAAACAGTGACCAACTATACTGATCCCGAAATTTTCAACGTACAATGAAATTTGTGGCTAATGTTGTAAATTCATGCATAAAGTCACTCTATTGAAGAATCTTGGAGGATAATGGGCCCCAACTTCTGCTTCTTAAGTCCTATCATTTGAGACACAGGACATGCTCCACCCTCACCAGCCGGTGGAATTATGTACCCAGCCACACAGTTAGGGAGAGAATGTTTATGCAGGCTGGAATGGTCAGGGTAACTGGAGCCATGTGGAGGTCAGTTAGAGAGAGCATTCTACCACAGATACTGCCCCTCAAAACCCAAATCCCTTAGAGGGCAAATTATTTCAGCTGCTTGAGCTTGTGTACTTTATAATGCAGTTGTTGGAGAGCCTCCTGCCCAGCAAGAAGCACGATTCCCTTTCCCCAAGGACACTGGTGACCCCCACATAACCTTTTCTCCCTGACCTGTGTGATGGCCAATCATGCTCTTCTGAAACTAGATACCAGAAGGCCAGACTTGTGCAGGGCAAAAGAGGCCGCCCCTGCATACTAATCCAATGAAAGGATAGCTTTACACAGGGGACATCGCGTTTCGCTCAGCCTATAATGCCTGTGTGTGTTTAAGGACAGCATTACTGTTAAATACCCAAGACAAATCTAAGCCTCTGAGCAGTACACCCAGTCGTGTCAACTCTGAGCAAAATAAATTGTGCTGTATAGCACACATGCCCGGTAGTCCCGAAACCTGGGTTTCAATCCAGTTTTTATAACTTATTTAAGAGGTGACCTTGGACGAATTGTATAAAATTCTGTGAGTTGTTCTGGTTTTAGGATTCCATTGGTAGAACCAGCGCATAATAGAGACTCACAACAATCCTTACTTTCATTACTTTCTTTCTAAAAGAAGAAAATTGAAAACAAAACAGGTATTGAACAAGTATTGCCAATAGAATTATTCAAGTCTTCCTTTAAACCAAGTATCATCACACCCATTTTACAAATGCCAAGGTGTCAGAGAGGTTTAGTAACTGCTGTAGACTAAGTTTGTTCCTCTCAGTTCGTGTATTGACTCCCTGACCTCCAGTGTGACTGTGTTTGGAGATACGATTTTAGGTAATTTAGATTGAATGAAATCATTAGGGCAGTCTGGTAGGAACTGTATCATTATAAGAAGAGGAAGAGAGAGAAGAGAAAGAGAGAAAGTGCCCCCTCTTTTTCCCTCTCTCAGTCGCTCTCTCTCCACATGCACACAGAGGAAAGGCCATGTGAGGACACAGCAGAGAAGGCAAAGCCCCTTCAGGAATCAAATCAACCAACACCTTGATCTGGGACTTCCAATCCCCAGACTGGGAGAAAAACCTTTAAATGCCTGTTGCCTAAGGCATCCGTCCTGCGACATTCTGTGAATGGCAGCCCGAACTGACTAAGAAACTAGCTCCAAATTTCACGGCCATGACTGGTGGAGGGGGACCCCTACAAGAACCCACACGCTGTTATTTCTGCCTTCCAAGCCAGTATGAAACTCACCTCTATCAGGATAGCCTGGAGTGTTCATTAGAAACACAGATTTCCCCTCAGATTCTCAAAATCAAATGCCTCAAAATGTGGACTGGAAATTTCTGTATTTGTCAGAGGTCAGGAGATCAGGGTATTGTGCACCCAGCCTTCCCTCACTGAAACTCCAGCACATGGAAACAGGAACTCTTCCGCCCTTTGCAAGGACAATAGCACCCAGCGCAGCAGGTACTCAAGAAATGTGTTTGGGTGATTGACTCATGACGTTCATCTGAACCTGAGGTACGAACTTGAGCCCTAGTCTTCTGGGTTTAAGAAGTTTGAGGATTATTTTCAATCTCCTATTTCTTAATGACGATATCATTCTGTATTTGAATTTTAACAATGACAAGTATCTTTTTTATTTTTTTGGTACCAGGGATTGAACTCATGACCTCATGTTTGCCAAGCAGGCACTTAGGCTGCTGAGCTAAACCCCTGGCCCAACAATGACAAATATAAACCATCTGATGAGTACTGGAATTACAAAGTTATGAAATGGTGACTTTTTGAATTGCTAGTCAATTTTAAATTTAAATTTTCTCATTTTAGATCCAGGTTAGTATTCCATGAACAGTGAAAAAATGAACAAAAAGCAGACTTTCCTGGTTTACAACTTTTATGGCTCAATTTATTTTTATTATATTTTCCTTTGGTAAATGTAAAGAAGTAATTCACACTATTATTTATGCTATAATATACAAAGTTTATGTATCTAAAATCTAAAAGTACCTACAATCTCCCAGATTGTTTGAGGAAGAAAGGAAAGATACAAAAGAATATTACTAAAAGTCACTGTATTTTTTTAAGTAGAAAAAATTACATAACCTGCTTGTGTTCTTGAATAAGCATGCATTTACACCTATAGACATAAAATATGCTAAAAAAAAACACCAGGAAACTAGATAACATTGGTTTTGTTCTAGGAAGGAGAACTGAGAACTTGGGGAGAAAGAGAAGTCTTAAATTTAAAAATGTTTTGGGTGTGGCTTTTCCTTCTTATCTAGTACTACTGGGGTAAAGTGTGCAAATCATACCCTGTTTATTTGAACAAACAGAAAGGAAAAAGAAGAGGGGAAGTGGGAAAGGAGAAGACAACAGAAAGCAAGAAAACTAAAGTAAAAGTAAAAAGGTTAAGAAGTCAAATCAAAAGAGAAGAGAAGAAAAAAAGAAAT